AGCAGGGTGCGGTGCTGTACTGACAGCAGCAGCAACTTGGAAAACAAGGAAGATTGTTCAAGGCAATGACACAGACACAGATATCCGTCAAACTCACGCAATCTGCAATGATTGGATCAAGGTTAGCCTTCAAAATCCAAAAGACGACCAAAAGATGCTTGTGCGACGTTATTTTAGGCACCGACTGGAAAGAAAGTACAGGTGAAGGTTACAGCCCTGAATGGAGTTTACTGCCAGTATGGATGCTGGGTACAGGGAATTGAGTTCAAGACCTTGGCTAATAAGCTGAACACGAATCCAAGGTGAGGTCTAATTGAACACTGTGTGGAGTCAGTAGACATCTAGGGGATATTCTTTGTCTGCTTTCTCAGAAGAGCATCGAAGACCTAGATAAAAAAATGACGAAACTTCGACAGTCCGTGTGGGAAGAGAATAGGAGCGACTGAATTTCAATTGAGATTCATTTCGCAGTTGCTTTAAAAATGGACTTTCACGATTCGTTTCAGATCGTGCTGTCAAAACCACTTGAACCAGGTACTTACCAGCGGGCTGAACCCGACACCGGTCATCACATACAACATTTTCCTGAAAACCGAAATCACCTACGCCTACAAATATATTTGATTTTCCGTGGTCCTATTTATTTCTCGTAGAACAGTGAATAAAACTGATGATGGTTTTATGGTTTTACCCAATTGTTCTTCTCATCTCTGCATACTGAACGAAAACTGTTGATGTGCACAGAACTCTCATAAGACACCTCAACTCTGATTATAACGTCGTATGAGCTGAGCAGATTATGTGAATTCGGCGAGGAACGTTTGGTAACTTAATCTGAAATGGCCCAGCTTCGAGTTCAGATCTTGGCTCTAGCTAAGGATTTATTTATTTATTTATTTATTCATCCGGATGTGTCAGAAGATAAACAGAACAATAACATGGAAAGACCGCACACATAAAACCATGGCGGCGCGCACCAGACAGGCTGCTTTCATAGTCCGCTGGCCGGTCCGCAAGCGCGCGAGCGAGCTAGCGTGTGGCGCTTGGCACTTGTTTACAACGAATCTCGCCGATACCGCAGGCGGAGTAGTCACCCGGGCGCGCGCCCGCGGGCGGACTATGAAAGTAGTTACAGTAGCAGAAAACAAAATCAAGCAGAAAAAGAAGCACCAACTAAGGGAACAGTGGAAACAAGTCTAGCAGTACAGTGTGGTCTAGCGGAATCCTAATCGACCCTGAGAGCTAACTGTCTTATTAAACAATGTGATTCACATCAACATATGAGAAGGGCTGGTCAAGGATAAAGTTATTTTTAGGTCGTTAGCGGCAAAACTTCTTCTAACTCTAAAGCGTCCAAGTGGCTGCCATAAAGCTGTTGCTTGAAGAGTTGATGAAAGGTGTTGTTCCTATAGAGCAGCAGTCTAATTTTCTTCTTTCAATATTGCTTCTCCTCTTCGAGAAGATCACCAGAAGTGTCGAGCTAGCCATTCCGTGTGTGCATCGGTAGTGGAGTCTCGAGCGAATCAGGTGATTTCCGGTACCTGAGTGAAGATGGATGGCTCTGTCAGATGCTCTTAAGCACGACACCTCGTTCCTAGTTTTTTCAATTGTAGATGGTCTTCTTCCTTTTTGACGGACGAGAAAACCAAGGCGTAGACGAAGAAGACGGACGATATTTAG